ATTTATGCCCCATAACATCTCATTCCACCACAGTGTGCCCTTCATCATGGTGACATCACTCAGATGACTATTGCGGCCACATTTGACTTGTTACTCATTTCTTATGTCTGATTTTTTTAGTTTTTTCTGTGTTTGCGTAAGTGGGTATTTTCAAAGAAAGTCCCTGAGCCTTGAGGTTCAGTATATTTGATGGTGCCAAAGCAAACATTAAAATGAGGAAATGTGAAAAAGGAAACCGCTCAAATGAAGCGAGAATCGTCTTTTTGTGGATGCCCTCAGCAGCCTGCACACAGAGAGCAGCAGGGGTTGGTGGGGAGGAGACAGGAGACGTATGCACACGTCGGTCAAAGATAAAGTCCTATCAATGCGTAGAGGTGATCCCTGAGATCCGGATATCCGTCTTGTCTTGTATCCAGGCTCAACCTCCGTCACCCCAGGGTGATTTCTTGAGGGCCATAAAATGTAACAACCATGGGAACTTCCTCTACCCACCCAGCTCTGCTCTGTCCACTGAGACAAGTCCAGAGAGCTCACTGTCATGTCATCCAGGGACTTCCTTAAAAGGACCTAATTAAGGGAACCTGAGGGACTTAATGTTTTAATTTCTGGAAGGAGGTTTTCCGGAAGAGAGCGCAGGACGATTTTCCGCCCTCTCCCTCTCCTCACCCCCCTTTCTGAAGTTCATCAGCCGAGGAGGAATGTGTTCGGCAATTGTTAGGGGTTTCTCTATAAATAACTTCTTGTCAGCCAGCCAGCCGGGCAGACATTCGTACAGTAACTGTCATTAAAATACTAACTCACAATCTTCCTACAAATATTTTTTGTGAAGCAGAAGGTCAGAAGGATTTACAGTCTGTGGCAGCAATCTCTTTTGATTACCACTCAGATATATATAGATATATATATATCCTTTATTTTGATGATGGTAAACTGTCCAGGCCCCGGGTCAGCAGAGCAGCCCCCAATCATGATACTCCCTCCACAGAATATCTTCTTTGGGATGATGTTATTATTTGGTGTGCAGTGCCTTTTTCCTGCCATACAAAGTGCTGCGTGTTGTTCCCCTTTAATTCAGCCTTAGTTCAATCAGACTACGAAACATGTTCCCAGTAGCGTTATGCAGAGTTAAAGTGCTCTTTGGCAAACTGCAGGAGTGCAGTGGTGTACTTTTGGAAAGCAGCTGCTTCCTCCATGTTGTCCTACCATGGACGCTATGGCCTATAGCCTTCAGCTGTGACTCTGGGGTTCTTTTTACCGCATTGATCATCCTGCATTGGCCTTTGGAGGCATCTTTGCTTGGCGCCCACTACTAGGGTTTGAGTCATTATTATAAAGTAGCTGGAAAAACACTTCTAATCTTGTTTCCGTGATCAAAACAATGTTTGCTTACTCCTTACTCAGTTTGTCTTTGTCAAAGTCTCGGGGTTCACACCCTAACCTACACTGTGAATGTTTCAACAATGTTTTCAATATGGATAAGAACAAAACAATAATTGGTGTGCTTTTAGTTAAACAGATTGTGTTTGTTCATTACTGTAATTTAGGATCAATTTATTAGGGATGCACCCATAGATGGTGTGTGTGTGTGTGTGTGTGTGTGTGTGTGTGTGTGTGTGTGTGTGTGTGTGTGTGTGTGTGTGTGTGTGTGTGTGTGTCTGATTGCAGATGGCTGCGTTGACTCGAGTCTGCTGTTTATTTGTTTTAGGTGTGCAGAGGAGGTGACTCCTCGTAACAGGCGTGTGTGTGATCGTGCACCTTGGTGTGTTTATACACTAATTAGAAACTTGCTTCATTTCCCCTCCCCCTCATACTGTGAATGAGGGTGTTGAATGGGGCATTGTGGGTAGTTGCTGGAATTACAGCCCCCAACTCCCCCCCCCTCCCTCTCTTTCTCTCTCCCTCGCTTATTATCATTAGTCACATTCCATCAGTACTCGGTGAGCATTGAGGCATGCGAGCACTTGTTTGTGACCATTTCCCTTGCTGTATCCCCCCTTCTCCCTCACACCCCTGTCTCCGCCTTTCACCATTGTCTTCCTGCAGCCCTGTTTCTATCCACCAATGTCACTCTGCCAGTTTTTCCCTTCAAAACGCTCTGTCCCCCTGCCTGCTGTTGTCCTTCTCCGTCTCCTCCAGAATATAGGATAGTTGAATTGAGAATGAGTGAAAGGCTGGACTCAATGAAGTGGATGATGGCTCAATTGAATGTGCCTCTCAGGAATGCTCCGTTGTGTTTGGAGTCTTTTGGCCGCAGCTCAGGCTCCAGTCCATTTGTGGTGGGTAGGGCTTGGTAGTTTTTGGGGAAGAAGGATTTGAATGCTGGTCCTGTTCATCCACTACAGGTTACACTACTACATGTGTTCTCAGTAATGCACTAGTTAGGCATAACGCTCTGTTGAAGCCTTTCACCTGTCATCAGTCTGAAGGCCCTCTCTCCTTAAGGGAAAACATTCTTTCATTTGGATGACTGAATGGATATCTGCTTCAACGCTTTAATGTTCAAAAAGCATCATTTATTTTTCTCATACTGCCTGTGCTGCAGCACCTCTTTTCACCCTCTGTCTGAAACCAGAGCCCAGTCTGCTCTGATTGGTTAGGTGGCCGGCTCTGTTGGGATTGATCAACCGCTTAGAGATGTCCTGCACCTTTACCTGTAATGTGTTGGAGTGCTATAATAGCACTCCAACACATTGACACTATTCAATAATATATATATTGAATAGTAGGGCTAGTGTAACCTAGTGATGTCACAGAAGTTAACAAAGGTGTCCAATGGAGGCGTTTCAGGCAGGGTGTGGGAGAGAAATTCCCTCTGGAGGGAACACATGGAGGCAAGACTTCTGCACATACTTAATCATTTCCATGGCATTAACCACAACCAGCCCTGCATGTTTAAGGTGTTCAAATAATGGTGCAGTGTTGTTAGGGGCTTGTTTCTTCTAGTACTTAAAAATTGAAATCCAGGAAGGCTATATTTAGTTGCTTATCAGATGGAATACATTGTAGTTGTTTTAGGAATGCACACAATCTTGTTCTATTTGTCAAACTCTCTGGTGTTTTGTTGGAATACCGACTATATCATACAAACGTACTGTTTCTGCAGAAAGTGCTGGAACAAGGTGAACTCCATTACCTAAAGGAACATTTAGATGAAGGCAATTCCAATCCCACATTTCCTGCTCTCTCATCACATCAAATCCATACCTTTAACCTTTTAAAGTCACCAGAGGTGAAATGAGATTTTTACCATCACAGAATTGAATCAAAATCCATTCTCTTGTTCTCATGTGTCTCAAAATCTGAATGAAGTTGAGCCTTATTGGATCATTCACTGCGGGAAAGAGAAACCTCTTCCAACTGAGATCGGGCCAGAGTTATGGTTCTCCAGTGAACTCTAGTTTTTGATTTGCAGCTTTCGGCAAATTAAGATAGATGAGCACTTGATTGGACTGTTACTCTTAGATGAGCAGAGCGACAGCATGCAAGTTTTAAGAGTTATTTGAAAGACAAATCTAGCTCAAATCTGACACTGTCCGAGAGGAGGAAGCAGGAGAAGCGCTCTGTGTTTCTCTTATGCTTTTATAAGTTCACATGCCTGTCCTTCGTGCCTCTGCTCCGTGAGGCTCTGGGTTGGTGCTCTCTCAGGACCATCTGCACAGGACTGTAAAGCACGTCTCTGCTGAGAGCCGTCACACGCTGACCACAGAGTGCAGGACTCAGAACTCCCTCCCCCACCCCGGAGGGTCAGAGGAGCAAGTCTTTCTTGTGGTTTGGATTTGATAAATTGAGGTTTGGTCATTGGGTATCATTGAGTGGAAAAACAAACATTTGCAAGGAAGTGAGAGTTTTCTAATGAATTCCCACTGAAATGATATAGATAACGATGATCATACTTAATGTGCTCTGGTATATTGTTTTGTGTGTCCCTGCGTTTCATTGTTGGCATTGTGCCATGCCTTTACCCCCATTCCCACATACAGGAGATGCCACCAACTGTGTGTGTGTGTGTGTGTGTGTGTGTGTGTGTGTGTGTGTTCTTCCCAACCTCCCTTTGGATAAGCCCACTGGAGATCTGCCTGAACTCGTAGGAGATAATCCTGCTTCTGTACCAGTGATTGTGTTGGGAGGCGAAGGAGGAGGAGAGGTGGAGATAAAAGGGAGGGGAAGAGGAGGATTTACCGTATCTGGAGTGAAAAGAAGAACGAAGTGTCATAACTCACTGTTTTAATATTATAGTATTTCACAAAGAAACAGCTAACCAAGAGGTTCAAGTGCTCAAACAAGTGAACTTTTTAAGGTTCTCATGCCATCTTCTTCTACCTCACAGAAACTTGTTTATCTGGCAGGGACTCCAGAGGGTTTTGTACCCTGTATCCTAGCAATGAGGGATGATTGAATGCTGGTACAGAGTGTGTGCGGCACTGAAAGCCCTCTTGGACTGACACTACTCGACTTGGCCTATGCTGAGGGGCTTTTACACGCAAAAACGGATGTAGTCAGTCGCACACAGGTCTGACAGGAATTTCAATGGCTACAAGCTTCCCACGACTCTTAGTGGACTGCAGAGAGGCAAAAGAAAATACAAAGTGTTGGACCATTGGGGTCTGTGTTTGTGGCAAACACTCAGGCTTGTGGTAATGCCTTCAAGGCTGAGGTTTTTCATCTCTGCACTTGCTGCTTCATATCACACCTGGGGTCTTAGCATAGGATATAGCTGCCCAAAGTATTGCCCTTGGGAAATGTAATATCGTTTTTGATATCTATGTTTTCATGAATGTATGAACAAAGCTAATTGCTGCATGGCAAATAGTGGCACTTTGCAAATGCTTTTTTAATCGAGTTCTGTCGTCAATGTGCTGTTAGCTAAAGTTAGCAATTTCAGTTAATAACTACCAACAATATTTTCTTGTGTGACCCTTAATCATATGCCGTCTCTTTTAAATTGCCACTGAGTATCCAAAACATTTTTACTGATGTATATTGTCCTTCCCCTTTTTTGCAGGTTGTGTTCAGAAGGATGTGTTTAACCCAAGTTGCTGGGTGGTCAAGAGGGGACATGCCTCTGTGAGACACCGCTGGAAACCAATGGTGAGGATCCAATGTCCCAGATTGAGCTAATTATTTAGCTTGAGGTATCCTCCAGAGGTCTTTTTAGTTGGATGTCAATTGATTTAGGCATAGTTACAAAAAAGAATGTCTTCTTGTCTTCCAATAGTTTAATTAGTTATTCTTACACTGTGAATCTGCAGAAAGAACAGACAGACAGATCAAAAAGGTCAAAAGTACAAGTTAGTACCCTTTTTCTAGGACCACTTAGTGAAAGTGGATAAGTTTGCTTCGCCCATGTACTGTTCAGTGCATTATAGAGACTGAATACACACTGGTACCTTTTTGTTACCTGGATTGTTGGGTTATGTGAGGTAGATCCATCAGTTTGGTTTTATATCTCACAGTTTAGAGGCTTTATCTACCAGACTTTCTCTATAGAAACTCAAGTGATTCTGTTCTTTTTCTTTTTCTTGCTAAATGCCAGATGTTATTCACCTGATAACGTCTGGTGTAATCCACCCACTATTGCCTTGCCTAGCTTGACTGTATGTTGTTGACTTCTAAGCTCACAGGGACCTTAACCACGCATAGCTGTAATGAGGAATGATGTCTTTTGTACTGCCAATTAAACCGTACTAGTCTGGTATTTCCTGCCTGCTTACCAATGAACCTTAAACGGGTCACGTACAACGGTAGATTATGATTGGTTGAGTCCAGCATGTTATCTACCATGTCCCTCAGAGTTCATGACTCTTTAATTGCCTAATGAGGCATTGACAAAATGGCCCCAGCAGGGAGGGGTTTCGTGGCCAGCATTAGCTAACTAGTTATAGGAACACAGCATGAAGGTCAAAAAACACTATACTGTTGTGGAGCAGCGTGAAGTGAGACTCTGGCACAATATAAATAATCGAAACAGAAATGAATAATAATTCAACAAGAAACTGTTTCTGCAACAACATGTCTGATTGTATTGGGATCCATAGCATTAGTTTGGGGGTCTATGACGTGGAAACCATCCATGAAAACCCCTTTTTGTAGTGAACAGCGACATCTCTTTGACATCCTGTCCTCTCTTCTGTCCCTTAGCTCTGCTGCCATGCCTCCTGGGATGGGGTGTCGTCTTTCGGTGTTAGAAGTCCAAACACTGCTGACTCTCCTGCTGCTAGCCGCCGGCTGGCCATTCACCTCAGTACCTAGAGGTGTTGTTGAAGCATCAGACTCTTCCCCCTCCAGTCTTTATCCCACCTTCATCAGGAATGACACTCTGTTCGAGCACTTGGCCCTGCATCCAGACCCCATTGTGGGTCTGGTCTACATCGGGGCCCGGGATCACCTGTTCCAGTTGGATCGATTCCTGCAACCTGAACTTCAGGAGGACACGGGACCTGTCATAGACAGCTGGGAGTGCTTACCTCCTGTAACCGACAGCAACTGCCCTCTGGCTAAGCTCACCAGCAACCACAACAAGCTCCTGCTGGTGGACCCGTACTCCATGGAACTTATTACCTGTGGGAGCGTCAACCAAGGGATCTGCCAGAAACGAAGTCTGGACTCAGTGAATCTGGTACTTTTTTCTACAGAGAGGCCAGTAGATACTCAATACGTAGCAGCTAACCACCCAAACGTCAGCACTGTGGGACTGGTGGTTCGCTCTCATCCTGATAGGCAGCCAGTACTGTTTGTGGGGCGGGGTTACACTAACAGCCACCCACCCATTTCCACGCGAAACCTTGCCCAGGGTTCAGTCTTCTCTTACGAGGAGACCGCCAAGTTGGCTGTGGCTGGCCGTCTCTCAGAATACGACCATCATTTTGTAGCATCCTTTGCCCACCGTCACCACGTGTACTTCCTCTTCTACAGGCGGGACCTAAAGTCACAGTCACGCGAGTACCGCACCTACGTGTCCCGTGTCTGTTTGGACGACCAGGCCTATTACTCATACGTGGAAGTTCCCTTGACATGCCGTTCAAGGGCAGGGAAAGTTTACAACCTCTTGCAAGCTGTCCAGCTCGGGATCACCCAGGACGGTACAGACAGTCAGGGATCAGAAGTTCTTCTTGGTGTCTTCTCCACTCGTTCGGCTTCATCTAGTCAACCAAGTGAGGACTCTGCCCTCTGCATGTTTAACCTGGAAGATGTGGACCTCAGGATTAACTCCACCAGAGACTTGTGCTACACACAGATGGGTAAAGAATTGGGATTGGAGGCAGCCTACATCGAGTATGAAGTCAAATCCAACTGTGCCAACCTGCCAGAGGTGAGTCTGGATGGAATGCTTGTTTCTGTGTTGCCTTTCATTCAGTTGTTAGAAATCAGAAACAAATGAGAGCTCATTTATTAGTCCAGCAGCGGGGACATTTACAGCAATACATCAAAAGTGACACAGCAGGTAAAAAAGGTAGATAATAATACATGTTAAGAAAAAGCACACATTAGTAATACAATTTAAAATAAAGACAAATAAGTTGTCTTCCCTGGCAGCATTCAAACAGTGAACACAATAGGCTAGTTGCACAAGATGGCGTCTATCAACTTCCGGCGGCTGGGTGTGAGCCCGAGTACTTCCGGTCTTCGCCATCACTCACTGTACGGAGGCTCAGTCATTGGTAAAGAGTTGCGTGAATTTCATTCAAGGCAAGACAACTTTATTTACTTAACACATACAGAGGGTAAATTCAAAGTAGTACATTCACTGACATGGATATGGCGCCACCTTGTGCCATGTTTACAAAGAAGATTATTGACATTAGGTCTGGCAATACAGTCAATCATTATCCTGGTGATTATTTCGCTTATTTTCCCTTCAAAGAGCCATAATTCCCATCACTAATTGCTGCCCAGGCTTGCCCATGCTTTTACCAGCGGTCCGTCCTGCGTAGTCTGCACCAGGCGAA